GATCGGGACATTTGAATATTTAATCCAATTATTTCCCTTATTTCTTTAAAAATTTGCATCCATTCTTGCTTTCTTAACTTCACATGACCACCACATATGTATATACGTCCACTTCTCTTTTTTACACCTCCAGCAGAGTGATGATACATTTTTATTATATTCAGTTTTATCAGCGTTAAATACCACCTCCATATTACCTTATAAAAATTTCTTTTATCCTTACAAACATGTTCTTCATAATTCTTTGGTCCCACATTTTAGCCCATTCTTCTATTACTTCTTTATCCAAATCATACTGCCACTGTGTTTTTAATACTAGTGTATCCTGTTCAGCCTGAATTAATAATTTATACCGTATTTTTCGCTCCATAAGACACACTCCCCCCCAAAAAAAGTGGGGAGAAAAGTGTGTGCATCTAATGGAGCGAATACTGGCTTCCCACCGCCTAAGAGACCTTTGGGTAGTATGGGCAGCATATAAGTTAAATAAAAACAAACAAACAAACAAACAAACAAACAAACAAACTTACCATAACCTTTCTCTCCATAGGCCAGGAATGGGGGGATGACTATTCTCCTCTTCTCTCCAGCACACATGCCTAGCAGACCTTGGTCCATTCCTTTGATCAGCCACCCCGAACCCACATAGGTGTCATAAGTACTGTCTTTTCCATAGCTGCAAAACAGGGAAGGGTGGAGGAAGACATACCAGGCAGGGAAAAACTGTTCAGTGAAAGAATGAGAACTAGACAGGACAGTACTGATCCAACACCACAGGTTGCAAATAACTTCTCATCTGATTGTTAAGGCATTAATGTATACCTTTCAACTGTTGGGACCGTAGCTCCCATCAGTTGTAGCAAGCACAACCACTAATAAGAAATGCTGGGAGTTGTGGTGCATCATCTACATATCTAGTTCTCAACATATCTGGGTCTCCCGATGTTCATGGACCAAAACTCCCGGAAACCTTCGCCACTAGCTGTCCTGGCCAAGATTTCTGGAAGTTGTAGTCCAAGAACATCTGGTGACCCAGGGTTGGGAAGCACTGATCTACATGGCCACATTCTGCTTTCTTTCTTATATAGTCTAGGTGATGACAGTGATGAATAGCCATACTCTCACATATATATTCTCACACCATTACGAGCACCTTGTACCTGGAATCAAAGGGAGTGCTATCCAGAAGTGTGCCATTGTAGTGATAACGCACAAAGTCTGTATTCTCCACTGTACGGTTACACCGTTCTGGTTTGTACAGAGTGGTGATCTGCAGCTTGTCTTCCTTGTTCCAAATGTCGAGCATAATGACATCAAAATAGAGGGTGGTGTCTGGGGGAATCAGACCAGCTGTGGAGTTCAAAAATGAGAGAGACACAGAGACCAATTCAGTGATTCTGCAGAGACCAATTCACCGCTCTCCTCTCACTGGCACCATATTGTACTGTTAAACATTGTTACTGTTATTATTATCCACTGCTCTCCTCTCCTGGCACCATACTGTTAAGCATTGTTACTGTTATTGTTACTTTATCATACAGTACCTTTGTTTTGTTATTATCATCACTGCTGTCATGACACTATCTTCATCAGGTGTATTGAAAATGAGCCCCCCCCCCAAATGTTAAAGTTTCCTTACCACCAAATATGCTTGTGGAATTTTCATCCAAAAACACATGGAAAATTACATACAGTACTTCTGATTCCTGATCTACCTACTGTTATACATGGATGGGAGAGGAAGGGATAAGGAATTATGAATATCAAAACCTTATAAAGCAAAACTGAACTGGAATTTTATGAAAGCTATGATGTTTAACAAAATGTGAGGGTTGGGTTGGCACATGTGGGAGTAGAAAACAACTTATTCATTTAGAAATGTTAAGCAATGCTGTGTTTTCCTTATCCCAGTAACTTGGTCAACAACATAAACTTGCCACTCACCAACACCAATGCTGCCATAGCCGAGATGAGGTGGGACAATTAGATGCCGCCTCTCATTCACGCACATGCCCTGCAGGCCTCTATCCATGCCCGTGATGAGCCGCCCCACACCTGCCACACCTGCCACTGTGGCACCTCGATCATAGCTGGAAGAGAGGATGGAAACAGGGTCAGAACAGGTGAGTAAAATTAATCTGGATAAGGAAAACTGAACAGTAAAGAAGAGTCAGTGGGAAAACAGGTTCTGAATCGGCTGCTAACATACAACCCATTGTTCTCATGGCCACCAAATTTGATGGCTTGGACAAATTCGAGGAGGATAAGACTATGAATGGCTCCACGCATAGTCAATATACTTTTCAAAATGACAAAATGGCTGTGCTGACTGGTGGATTCTGGGATTAATAGTCCAAAAAAGTAAATGTTCTAAGCTGTGCAAATGCTACAGGTTATAATGATACTTCCAGGTTTAGAGGCAAAATGGACTACAACAGCAGGGAAGTGACATGGTCCCTCTATCGTCCATGTGGTTTCTTTAGAGGGATCTGTATCCATACTGATCTAAAGCGATAGGCATGACGATTCATCCAAAGTTAAACACATTTAAATTGTAGTGATTTGAGTGGACAAGGTAGACATGTACCATTTCTCCATACAAGGCCTCTAGATTGAGTCAAGAGTAACATCTGCTCTTTGGTACCTAAAAGCTCTGAGATTAGCATATCCAAGGAACAGGGCACCACATCTTAGGAAGATGTAACGAAAACTGCATGTTTCTCCCCTCAGTTCCTTCGCCCTTACAGTCATTTTTCTTTCCCAATATCATCACCTTTTTCTCCAGCCTTCATGCTTCCTTTTATACCTTGTTCTTACCTACCATTTCCCCAAAATAAACTCTAATCTGAAAATAAGCCCTAGTATGATGATAAACCCTAATCTGAAAATAATCCCTAATATGATTTTTCATACTATATTCTCTGCAAAGATGGAAAAACTCTATACAGTCAGCAAAAACAAGACCTGGAGCTGATTGTGGCTCTGATCATCAGCTTCTTATAGCAAAATTCAAGCTTAAACTAAAGAAAGTAAGAAAAACCACTGGCCTAGTCAGGTATAATCTAAACCAAATCCCTTATGAATACACAGTTGAAGCGAAGAACAGATTTAAGGAACTAGATTTGGTGGGCAAAGTGCCTGAAGAAGTATGGATGGAGGCCTGTAACACTGTACAGGACGCAGCAACAAAAACTATCCCAAAGAAAAGGAAATGCAAGAAAGCAAAGTGGCTCTCCAACGAGGCCTTACAAATACCAGAGAAGAGAAGGGAAACAAAATGCAAGGGAGATAGGGAAAGCTACAGAAAATTGAATGCAGACTTCCAAAGAAGTTACTCTTTTAGATTAATCCCTCCAAAACCTCCCAGAAAAAAAAAACAAAACACTTTTCCAAGCTCTAAAAAAAACTAAACATTTAGGGTTTGGTAGCTAGAGGCCCAAGGGCCAAATCTGTGTTATTAATGTGTTATTAATCAATTTAAGGGCAACAAAGACGTACAAATAGTGATGGCTATGACAATGGGTCTTGCTACAAGTCAATTTTGAGGACTGATATGGGGACTGATCCAAGCACTGCTTCCTCAAAATGGCTCTCTTGCAAAACCAGTTGACAACCAGGACCTGAACCCAACAGGTAATCCCAGCAAGAGAAGGTCCACTGAACCAGTTCAATGCACTACTCAACCACTGATCCAGTGGCTACTGGACTGCAAACCAAAATTATATTGTTTAAAAGTATTAACAATCCTTGGAACAACTGTGAAAGAGAGAGAGAGAGAGAGAGAGAAAGACAGAGAGGCAGAGAGATTGCTCATTTCAAGATGCAGTTGGATACATTAGGAAGAATACTGTATCTAAAAACAAATTTTATTATTAAACCTAACTGCACTCTTGACAAAGAACCCATTCTAGCTAACAAAATTGCATCTTGAAACAAGGGACTGCCAGAGAGAGAGAGAGAAAGACAGAGAGGCAGAGAGATTGCTCATTTCAAGATGCAGTTGGATACATTAGGAAGAATACTGTATCTAAAAACAAATTTTATTATTAAACCTAACTGCACTCTTGACACAAAACCCATCTAGCTAACAAAATTGTATCTTGAAACAAGGGACTGCCAGAAACGTGTGTGCATGTTTGATTTAATAAGCAACTAATTCTGTAATCATCAAGAAATTCACTCTCACTAGCACAAAATGAAGTGAATGAAACATGATCTCCAACTTCCTTTGCATTCCGAATATAGCCAGAGGAAAGGCAGGACCAGCCTGCATGGCTTACCCAAAGCTGACTGCAGTTTAAATTAGGAATGAATTTTCCTTCCAGACCTGGGGGAGGGGGGGAGGGATGGAACAGAAGCACAAGGCTTCATATGCGTTTTGCAGGACTGTCGCCTACAACACATATTTTGAATAGAAATAGAAGACATCTTTCTAACTTGCAAACTCCAGTTTTTTAAAACCACCTTTCCCAATCTGTTTCTCTCTGCAGTATCTGTGGCTACAGTCTCATGTGGATGACACGTCTACAGTCAAAACTGCAGATCTCGCTGTGGGCGCCACCTCCTTTCACAGCACATGGCATGCAACTGATTGCCTCTTTCCTCTTGACTGCAGAAGGCCACTATCCCAGTGGAAAACAGAATCAAACTCGAAGTGCAGTGGGCAGACTTCAGAACGGCCCAATAATGTTCTTGTTTCACTGTAAAATACCACTGATATGCAGCTTAAACTGCAGATACATAGATTGACTGAAGTTAAACCAAAAAATAACACAGCACTTACTACTGGGAAATTATTATCTCATCCATTTTCAATTTAGTTTCCAACACTGTGTTATAACCTAAGAGACAAACCAGAACATGTATTCAGTTCAGTTTAATAAGGGAATTAACACTGCATTTAACAATGTAATCCAAATGCTTTTTTAAAAATTATTTTTAAACCAAGTCCACCCATCTCTTGAAAAGATCGGCCCCAAAATATTCTCAATGGGAGGTGCTGCAGCTTCTCTCCTAGGGTGCATCCTTACAAAGGGTGATCCAGGAAATCACTGCTTACATATACGGCTTTAAAGAAAGCCTTTGCAGAAAGTTGGTCTCCTGTTAACTACTGTATTACCCTTCATATCAAAATGGAACCTCTGTGGTTAGGACTTTTAGACAGTGCTATACTATGCTCTGAAATCTAGCAGGCAGGAAGGGGGGAGGGGAAAACACAACAGAGTATGAGTACCTGCATTATGCCCTCCTTGTGTGCTTCTCAGATTGCTTGGTAAGAAGGGCTTTGCTATAGCGCAGCAAGCTAATTCTTATTTATATTTTTACTGCTGAAAGTTGGGGAGCCTATGGCCCTCCAGGTACCGTTGAACCAAAATACCCCTTCAACCCATGTTCAGTACAGAAAACCGTGAAGGATGGAGGAATTTGCAATCCAGCCATAGCTGGCAAACCATGTGTTTCCCTATTACCACTTACTTGCAAGTAGGACACACTAAACTCAGTGGTGCTTACATCTAAGTAGAACTGTATGATTATAGAGAACCAACCTATAGAGAGACTGAGGATGTACAATGGGCAATGCAATGTGTTTCATCTTTCAGGAATTTATATACAGAGAACAAGAGTGGCTTTAGTTTAGACTTTTGTTACTGCAAATGCAGCCAAGAACTACAATTATATTCAATTTTCCCCCTTAAAAAAACTCACTCTCTGAAGCATTCCCTACATCTTGTTACCCTCGCAATGTAATCAAATTAAAATTGCTCTTTCTGAAAAGCCTGAAAAGCCTATGGACATTTTCTTGGGATTAAATCTCATTGAGATTTACGTCTACATTGGCTTGGGCATGTCATGAGAATGGATGACGATCGGATTCCAAAATATCTCCTGTATGGCGAATTAGTACAAGGAAAGTGCCCCAGAGGGAGACCACAGCTGCAATACGAGGATATCTGCAAGCGGAATCTGAAGGCCTTAGGAATGGACCTCAACAGATGGGAAACCTTGACATATGAGCATTCAGCCTGGAGGCAGGTGGTTGCAGCATGGCCTCTCCCAATTTGAAGAGACCCTTGTCCAGCAGGCCGAGGCAAAGAGGCCACACTAGAGATGATGTTGTAAGATGCTGTACCAAGACTATGTTACCATAGTCTCTCGAGACTGAAGGATGCCTACACTAAACTTCATTGAGAACCCAGAGAGATTTCAGAACAAACTTGTTTAAGAACTCCACTTCAGGACTAAGGTATCTCTGCTGTTCCCAACTAGATGTTAGCTTGAACTAAAACTCACATCATTCTTTGTGATGGCTGGAAATGGTGGGAAATGTAGCCCTATGCTATGAAGGTCAGTTAGCTTAAGAAGGCTGGTGCAGCTACATCTTAACCCTTTTTTAAAAATCAGCTAAATATTTCTACTAATACAAGACAATGTGGATTAGCTGACTGCCATTAGGAATGTAGCCCTGGGGGAGCAGAGAGCATCTCAGCTGTATGTGTGAAAAGTCCCATTCCTGCATGTCAAACCTGTTCCTCCTCACTACATACCCGCTGTATACCTACTGTATACTGCACACCCAGTGTACTTACACTCAAGGATATAGACGACAGATGTAGGCAGTGTCTGCATCTCTACATAATGTTTCAGTAAGATGTAAAACTGGGTCTATCCAGACAGAAGTATAAACCACCAGGCCTAACTAAAGTAAAACTTAAAATGCATTTATATTTTTAGTGGAAATTATGTTCGTTTAAAAACCCTGTACTTGTTCCCCGTTTTGTGTTAGCTCACCCCAGTGAAACGCAAGCGTTCCCCCACTCACAATATTTATGCCTAACACGTCAGTGCACATCAGGTTACCAGCTCTGCAGTTATAAGATTATTATATTACTTCCAGGACGGCTCCCTGCTTGTTCAGATGAGAATACAGTATGTGCAAAGTCAACCCTGCATCATCCTCGCGGCAACATTCCAACAGAGGCCGGCCTTTGCAACGCAACGGCTGCTGTGCAAACCCCACCGAAAAGTGAACGGTGGGCGTGCAATGCCCCCATTTCGTTTTCCAAAGCCCAACTAAGCAACTCCACACAATCCAGAGCAGGCCATTTGTCCCGCAAAGGAGCAAGAGGGTTTTTTTTTCGGGGGGGGGGAAGGCGGGATGAGTAAAGTCAGGGCTGCTTTCCTGCAGCTGTTCCCAGGACTGCTATTTCCAACATTCCAAGAGGGCTGAACAATCCCGGAGCACTGAAAATTCAAGATCCGTCTGTGACTCACGCATTTTTTTTGGCTGGGGAGGGGGGGTGTCTGGTTTTCTTAGGCGAGAGATGGTTTTAGATGGTGGAGCCAGCAACAGGGGCCGCCCTGCGTTGTTCGCAAGCTGCTGCTCCCCCGTCCCCCAAAGGGCGCTTTTTCAATGCCCTCTCCCTCCCTCCCTCCCTCCCTGCCTGTCCCTCCCACCAGACCCTTCTGGCCTGGAGCGACGGATTTTTTAATTTTATTTTTATTTTGCAAGCGAGCGGACCGGGTACCTGGAGTCAAACTTGGTCCCGTCTTGGAAAGTCCCGTTGTAATGGTAGCGGACGAAGTCGCCCATCTAGACTTCTCGCAAGCACACTTTGGGGATGTAGTATCTGTCAATGACGACGTCTTCCAAAGGGCCTGGTTCTCCCAAGCCCCGCACCCGCCAGAGGCTCAGGGCCAGGACGAGGCAGAAGAAGCAGCTCATGCTGGCGGTCCTCCTCGACGGCGCGGTCTTGCCGAAAGGGCAGGCGAGGCGCAGCAGTCCGAGGTTGGGCGCTGGAGGAGGGCGGGGGGGGAGGCAGAGGAGGTGCCTTGCTCGACGGGAGGCGGCCCGGAGGGTTCCAGCCCACCCGCAAAAATCCTGTAGACGTGTTAAAAAGCGGCCTCTTCAGGTTAGCGGCCGAAAAGGGGCCCCGAAGACCTTTCAGGCCTACAGTGTCGGGGCTTCTAACGTCCGAAACGAGGAGAGCTGCTTGCAACTGAGAGAGTCTGAGGAGCCTCCAACTTCACTCCCTTTTCTTCTTCTTTTTTTTCCCCTCGTCTAAAAACTTCTGGAAACTATTTTAAAGCATGCTCGGGCAGCAGCCTCAGCTACACTTAGAGGTTTGCTTAAAAAACAAAAAGGACCAAAAAATGCAGAATCCGCCCCTTCCAGGTCCTAGTGCCTGATGCTCGAGTCAGAAGAGGCGTTTGTGCCTACGTGGTCCTGGAGGCTGCGGTGGAGCAGGCGCTGAGCCCCCACAAGAGAATCCTCCCTCAGTCTCTAGGGGCTATGTTTTTTTAAAAAAAACAGACCACGTGCTTAATTAATAGGTTTACCAAAATGCGTTGACAGCCTTAAAAGGGCATTAGAAAAAGTATACGTGTGCGGCGGAGTGCTTGCAGGTTTCCCAAAGGAATGCGGCTAAAATCCTATTACTTAGTGTATAAATGACACTAGAGTAGAGCTATTGAATCAGTAGGGATTTGGTGAGTCAGAAATCCTATTACTGTACTTACTTAGAGTAGAGCCATTGAATCAGTAGGGATTTGGTGAGTCACTTTCTCCATAAGTTGCACTGATTCAAATAGGCCTATTCTAGTTGCAGTTATGCTGAACTACTGTACAATGAGTCTTGTTTCGCACTGTTAGGGTGTTAGCTTTAATTTAGAAGCAACAATGAAAAGCAAAAGCAAAAAACAGCCCTGTCCAAATGTCTTCCAATTCACCCTCTCCCATATACCTCCTGCTGCCGCCATTACTGCTGCCACCCATTGTGCTTGCTCCTTTTCATCTTCTAAGGGAGACTCCTCCAGAACTGGTCTCATGCCTGTGAGTGAAAGATAGCAAACTTCCTGTAACATTACTATATTAACTATAGCACTGTCTTATGTCCCTGGATACAACTTTTTTCCTTTCAAGTGTTCCACTGGTACTCAAAAATTGGCTATGGAGATTGTTCTTGATTAATGCATCATTTGGGAGAAAGAGAAGGGCTTTCTACCACCTTTATTTTCAACCCCTCTCAAGAGTATAAAATCTCCACTTCTCCATCTATTTCAAACTTAATGAACTACTCAGGGGAAATAGAGTCCTCTGGGCAAAGTATCCCAGCAAGGATTCAAAGTCTTGCAAAGCCTGAAGCTTGCAAAGAAGGCAGATCAGAGCTGAGGTCATGGTCTGTGCCCAAAGGCCATTACCACGT